GTATTTGCGGAAAACAACATACAGTGAGGGAAAAAAGTATTTGATCTGATTTTGTACGTTTGCCCACTGAAAAAGAAATGATCAGTCTATCATTTTAATGGTAGGTTTATTTGAACAGTGAGAGACAGAATAACAACAAAATAATCCAGAAAAATGCATGTCAAAAATGTTATAAATAGATTTGCATTTTAATGAGGGAAATAAGTATTTGACCCCCTCTCAATCAGAAAGATCTCTGGCACCCAGGTGTCTTTTATACAGGAAACGAGTTGAGATTACGAGCACACTCTTAAAGGGAGTGCACCTAATCTCAGTTTGATACCTGTATAAAAGACACCTGTCCACAGAAGCAATCAATCAATCAGATTCCAAACTCTCCACCATGGCCAAGACCAAAGAGCTCTCCAAGGATGTCAGGGACAAGATTGTAGACCTACACAAGGCTGGAATGGGCTACAAGACCATCGCCAAGCAGCTTGGTGAGAAGGTGACAACAGTTGGTGCGATTATTCGCAAATGGAAGAAACACAAAAGAACTGTCAATCTCCCTCGGCCTGGGGCTCCATGCAAGATCTCACCTCGTGGAGTTGCAATGATCATGAGAACGGTGAGGAATCAGCCCAGAACTACACGGGAGGATCTTGTCAATGATCTCAAGGCAGCTGGGACCATAGTCACCAAGAAAACAATTGGTAACACACTACGCCGTGAAGGACTGAAATCCTGCAGCGCCCGCAAGGTCCCCCTGCTTAAGAAAGCACATATACAGTGGAGAGAACAAGTATTTGACACACTGCCGATTTTGCAGGTTTTCCTACTTACAAAGCATGTAGAGGTCTGTAATTTTTATCATAGGTACACTTCAACTGTGAGAGACTAAATCTAAAACGAAAATCCAGAAAATCACATTGTATAATTTTTAAGTAATTAATTTGCATTTTATTGCATGACATAAGTATTTGATCACCTACCAACCAGTAAGAATTCCGGCTCTCACAGACCTGTTAGTTTTCCTTTAAGAAGCCCGCCTGTTCTCCACTCATTACCTGTATTAACTGCACCTGTTTGAACTCGTTACCTGTATAAAAGACACCTGTCCACACACTCAATCAAACAGACTCCAACCTCTCCACAATGGCCAAGACCAGAGAGCTGTGTAAGGACATCTATGATAAAATGGTAGACCTGCACAAGGCTGGGATGGGCTACAGGACAATAGGCAAGCAGCTTGGTGAGAAGGCAACAACTGTTGGCGCAATTATTAGAAAATGGAAGAAGTTCAAGATGACGGTCAATCACCCTCGGTCTGGGGCTCCATGCAAGATCTCACCTCGTGGGGCATCAATGATCATGAGGAAGGTGAGGGATCAGCCCAGAACTACACGGCAGGACCTGGTCAATGACCTGAAGAGAGCTGGGACCACAGTCTCAAAGAAAACCATTAGTAACACACTACGCCATCATGGATTAAAATCCTGCAGCGCACGCAAGGTCCCCCTGCTCAAGCCAGCGCATGTCCCGGCCCGTCTGAAGTTTGCCAATGACCATCTGGATGATCCAGAGGAGGAATGGGAGGTCATGTGGTCTGATGAGATACAATGTGATTTTCTGGATTTTTGTTTTATATTCCGTCTCTCACAGTTGATGTGTACCTATGATAAAAATTACAGACCTCTACATGCTTTGTAAGTAAGAAAACCTGCAAAATCGGCAGTGTATCAAATACTTGTTCTCCCCACTGTACATGCTCGTCTGAAGTTTGCCAATGAACATCTGAATGATTCAGAGGAGAACTGGGTGAAAGTGTTGTGGTCAGATGAGACCAAAATCGAGCTCTTTGGCAACAACTCAACTCCCCGTGTTTGGAGGAGGAGGAATACTGCCTATGACCCCAAGAACACCATCCCCACTGTCAAACATGGAGGTGGAAACATTATGCTTTGGGTGTGTTTTTCTGCTAAGGGGACAGGACAACTTCACCGCATCAAAGGGACGATGGACGGGGCCATGTACCGTCAAATTTTGGGTGAGAACCTCTTTCCCTCAGCCAGGGCATTGAAAATGGGTCGTGGATGGGTATTCTAGCATGACATTGACCCAAAACACATGGTCAAGGCAACAAAGGAGAGGCTCAAGAAGAAGGACATTAAGGTCCTGGAGTGGCCTAGCCAGTCTCCAGACCTTAATCCCATAGAAAATCTGTGGAGGGAGCTGAAGGTTCGAGTTGCCAAACATCAGCCTCGAAACCTTAATGACTTGGAGAAGATCTGCAAAGAGTAGTGGGACAAAATCCCTCCAAAGATGTGTGCAAACCTGGTGGCCAACTACAAGAAACGTCTCACCTCTGTGATTGCCAACAAGGGTTTTGCCACCAAGTACTAAGTCATGTAATAATTGCGCCAACAGTTCTTGCCTTCTCACCAAGCTGCTTGCCTGTTGTCCTGTAGCCCATCCCAGCCTTGTGCAGGTCTACAATTTTATCCCTGATGTCCTTACACAGCTCTCTGGTCTTAGCCATTGTGGAGAGGTTGGAGTCTGTTTGATTGAGTGTGTGGACAGGTGTCTTTTATACAGGTAACGAGTTCAAACAGGTGCAGTTAATACAGGTAATGAGTGGAGAACAGGAGGGCTTCTTAAAGAAAAACTAACAAGTCTGTTAGAGCCGGAATTCTTACTGGTTGGTAGGTGATCAAACACTTATGTCATGCAAATTAATTACTTAAAAATCATACAATGTGATTTTCTGGATTTTTGTTTTAGATTCCGTCTCTCACAGTTGAAGTGTACCTATGATAAAAATTACAGACCTCCACATGCTTTGTAAGTAGGAAAACCTGCAAAATCGGCAGTGTATCAAATACTTGTTCTCCCCACTGTATATATATATATATATTTATTTTTTTACACACCCCTTATTTTTGGGGGCACATAACTACCTCCATACTTCCACTCGTTTAATACACCATCATGTTCATCGTGTAGGTCAAACCGTTTGGACACTACAGACATTACGTGAGAAGACCGATTTTCGGGATGTCTCATTGTCTGACAAACACCGCTGTAGCTCGGCCACCTGTCACCGCAGATGGAAGGCCAACATAGACATAGGCAGATGCTGTGGATTGAGACAAAGGCCATGCAAATATCTCTAACTTAAACTGACGTATTTTAATGGTGATTAAGACATTTATTTTCATTGTTAGAGCGGCGACTAGAGTATCTGGTCAATATAATGAATAATCTGTGGCTAAGTGTCACCACTTGCCTTCCGAGTCACGTTACACACAGAAGATCTCTGCTAAACATAGAATGAAGATGATTATCTGTTTCTCTGTGGTTGCTGAAAACGTCATAGTTGAATATAAATAGCCTAAACATTTTTGCAATGTTTTAAAGAAGTGTAGCAAGGATGCATTTTTGTTGATGAAAACCGAGATAACCTAATTATATGATAGCTAGATTATGCTACACATTGACATCACTTTCATGGGCAATCGATAGACCTAGGCTACGTAGTATTAAGCCATTTGGCTACACCTGAGCCACTTCAATATTCGCTGTAGCCTAACCACTCACCAAATATTAGGTCTGACAACGTCGCTTAACTTGTAGTTTAGGACAAGGCTAGGATACTTCATGTTTAGTTATTTAATTGTAGAATGTCTGTCAATTATGCTACAATTTGATGAGCAAGTACTAAAACCATTGTAGTAATTTCATATTTTTTTAGGTCACGTTGATATATTATGAATAGCGAACGAGGGATCAAGCAACTTTGACTTTGGCTTTATTCATTCAGTGGTGCTGAAAGAAATTGCTAAGTCGGTACGCTAATACAGGAATAGTAAAGGACCAGTGCAATACTCTTTTTGGATTTTTTTATTTATTATTATTATTATTTGAAGAAAAAAAGAAACCCGCACACTGCTCTTGCTAGTATTGCTGCTCTTTATTAAGCTTTACGTATCGGCCTCAAGGCTTTCCTCAGAGCTTTTGAGAATATTTTATAATAATAATAATAATAATTATATGCCATTTAGCAGACGCTTTTATCCAAAGCGACTTACAGTCATGCGTGCATACATTTTTTGTGTATGGGTGGTCCCGGGGATCATTTTCACTCACATCCGTTCAATGCATAGAATGGGGTTGGAGTTGAGGGAAAATAAACATGTGTTACCAAATATAACAATACATTTGCTAAAATGTCTAAAAACCTGTTTTCGCTTGGTCATTATGGGGTAGACTGATGAGAAAAAACATTTATTTTAATCCATTTTAGAATAAGGCTGTAATTTAACCAAATGTGGAAAGGGTCAAGGGGTCTGAATACTTTCCGAATGCACTGTAAGTGTTTGCATTATATGTTTGCCATGTGTTAAGTATTCTAGACGTTTACTCATGTTCTTTTGTAGGCCTATGCAATGTTTGCATAGCCGAAGTAGGGGTGCTGAGGCTGCTGCAGCACCCCCTGATTTATTTTTATTTGTTAAAATAATAATTCAAAAGGCACTCTCACATCTGAGCTATCTTTGTTGCAGGTGAAAGGTAACAATTGAATAACATGAGAAAAAAAAGACGAATAGGACGTACCAAGTAGTCAATTGATCCACTACGAGAGATCAAATCACTTACCACGCACTGTGCGAGTACCCTCTCATTCACACAAGACGCCAATAAGATCCTCTTCCCTACCTCCAACATGGACAAACTAGCTCCACACTCTACTGGAGAACTTAAAATCCAACTTCAGAGACTCAGAGAGAAATATACTTGTTTGTTCCTGCATGGCACTGCTCTTAGTGAGTATTGGCGCAACAAGCGCATTCCAAGAGGAATGAGAATACAGAAGGAGCCCACAATAGGGAAAAACGACGAAACCCCAGAAATGGGGTGAACTCCTAAACAAATGTTCCTTAGATTTAATGCTACTTATTGTTGAACATGTGTCGAAGTAAGTAAAAAGGGTTGAAGTTAAGATCAGTGAACATGAGGTTATAATGAAGGAGATTCTAGGCCCAGACTTCACAGCCATTGACGACTCAATCAACCAGTCCATTGGGAAATACAGAGACCTCCTACAAGCAACAAAGATCAAGAAATATCAGCGAGACACAGAGGACTACCAGCTCAATCAGGTCTACGCATGGGAAGTCCCAAGGACGGGAGCACCAAGAGGCCGACTTAGGGACGCACCACTGACCAGGGGACGCAGTTACGCAGCAGCTGGGAGACGCGGACATAGAGGCATCCACTGAAAGCGAATTCCCTACAGACAGCGACTCCAGCTACCATCGCACACAAACTTTTTTTTAGCCCGAAAGCAGTACAACCAGGCTCCACGAAAGAAAATAAATTATGTAGGAAAGGCAAGCAGTCAAAGAGTGGACCAGAAACACAGGCCTTGGACACGGAGCTACAGCAGGAAGCTGTAATTAACCGCTCCAAAAACAGCTCACTGACGCACAAGTCTCAGTCTTATCTAAGGGCCTGTCTTTTGTACCTACATGTATAGACAAACCATTTGATACGAAAGTAGATCTGTTTAAATTCTTTCGCAAGATTAAACCTTAAAAACGTGCTTTATCAAAATACTGTTTCTGGCATAGAAACCCAACAAAGATGTGTTACTCATTTTAAGCCCAAAAACTAATTATGTCCTATGGTTAACAACTCCTCGATTAATACCTATTGTAGGTTAGTCGAACAAAAGCCATGTCTGTATATACGAGAAAAACAAACCATATTCAGAAGAACCTCACCAGGACAGAAGAACAGGCACTTAATGAACTAATTAAAGACTCATCTTCATCAAACCTGCAGACAAGGGGGGTGCTGTGGTCGTTTTTACACTATGAAAAATACAAAGAAGAGATTCAGAAACAACTCAGTAATTAACGTTTGATCCCACACAGGTGTTCCAAAGGGATATTAGCTGAAATCTGGAGCAAGCCCTATTAAACAACCTTATCTCAAAACCTGAATATGAATACCTTTTCTGCAAATGTGCCATATGTCCATGCCTGTACATTTTGCCTAATTTACACAAACCTAAAACACAAGGCAATTATCCAGGCAGACCAGTGGTTGCAAGAATAGGCTCAATGCTAGAGCCATTGTTGAACTTTGTAGACTCTTTTATTACATCTCATGTAAAAAGCATTGCCATCATATGTGAAAGACTCTATAGACTTCATAAATAAGATCTCACCAATAACGGGATTAACAGAAGACTGTATTTTGGTCACATTAGATGTCGAGAGTCTATATACCAGCATTCCCCCCATGTGGGGTCTGGCAGCCCTAGGTCACTAATTGAGAGACCGAGATACTAACCAACAAACTTTATTCTAGAGACGGCTGAATATGTTTTGACGTATAACAATTTCAGGTTTGATGATGAATACTACCTCCAAAGGAATGGAACATCGATGTGCTCCACATTCGCTCCAAGCTATGCTAACCTTTATGTGGGTAAATTTGAAGAACGTTTTGTTAACAATTAAAATGAAAATCCATTATTGAATAAAATCCTGAAGTGGTATCGATATATTGACACCATTTTTTGAATATGGGGAGGAACGGGAGAAGAGCTGTCAGACTTTATGGCATTACTCAATGACATTGACCCTAATCTCAAATTCACTATTGAATGTGACACGTAAAGTGTTCATTACCTCGATATGTGGATTGAGAAATCAAATGGAACCCTGTTTACAACTCTGTACAGAAAAGAAACGGACAGAAATACTCTAGTACAGGGGGACAGCTTCCACCCTGAGCCATTAAAAACAGGACTTCCAAGACTGCGCCGTATATGCCACTCCACAGAGGACTATCTAGAAAAAGCAGCCGGGATGCGCAATAGGTTTCTAAGAAGAGGCTACTCTCTACAATATGTGGATGAAGCTCTTAATTTGGCATCAGGGAAAACAGGAGATGAACTGCTACAAAAAAGACCCACCAGAGCTAAAGAAAACTCTGTAATGTTCACCTCCACATATACTTTGAACTCGCGCAAAGTGGGAGATGCTGTCAAGAAACACTGGCATGTTTTATCATCGGACCCAGCTCTGACAGCTGGATTGAAGAACCAACCACTTATTGTATATAGGAGAGGTCGCAATTTACTCGACAGATTGGTCCATGCCAACTGCCAGCCTCTTCCGAATGGTAGCTATAAATGCAGAGGCTACGCACAGCGCAACAATATGATGAAGTGTGAATATTTCCGCCTCCCACATACAGGAAAACGGTTCCAAATAAATGACATTATTACGTGCTCCTCCACCCATGTTATCTACATGATTAAATGTCCATGTGGGCTGTGTTATGTAGGTAAAAAGTTAAATCAGGAGAAACGACAGGGATTATCCAGTCGCAGTACATTTTAATGACCAAAAACATGACATTTCTACCTTTTAGATTTTGTGGCATAGCGAAAGTCAAGATATCAGACAGGGGAGGTGATATAAATAACACAAAATAGAATGTTTCGGATTTTCACCCTCCAGACATTATTCCCAAAAGGTCTTAATGATGAAATGCCCATGCATGTTATGTTGTAAATGTGAACATGAACTAATGCCACCACTTCAGTCTACTCTGACGTTTTTTCTTGCACTCTACCCAATGATTTATGAAAACTTACTTGATAGGTCGATGTCCTCATTGTGGTTTTACAGACGTGTTTAATACGTTTTATGTACACACTTTATTAGAATATTTATGAAATGCACATTGTTATATTTGGTAACACATGTTTATTTTCCCTCGACTCCAAACCAATTTGACGCATTGAACGGATGTGGGTGTAGCAATGTCTACGTATACGAAGAACACTCACTAAAGCTCTGAGAAGGCCTTGAGGCCGATACGTAAAATAAAGAGCGGCGATACTAGCAAGAGCAAGAACAATGTCCGGGTTTCTTCTTTATTCTCATGTTATTCAATTGTTACCATGCACCTGCAACAAAGATAGCTCAGATGTGCGAGTCCCTTTTGAATTATTATTATTTAAAATAGAAACATCAGGAGGTGCTGCAGCAGCCTCAGCACCCCTACTTCGGCTATGCAAACATTGCATAGGCCTACAAAATAGCATGAGTAAACATGTAGAATACATAAAACATGGCAAACATATAATGCAAACGCTTAAATACATAATAGGCTACAGAACCTTTCTTCTCTTGATGGGAAAACTGTATTGTGTAAAAATGTTGATTTAAAAAAATGACTTTGAATAAATGTAAGATCTACAGCGAGCTCTTTAGCCTATATATTCAGGAATCATTTTCAACATGGGACAGCTCCTGTAATAACACAGTTAAGTTTCAGTTTGTAACGAGTGCACTTAGTGGTGTTTTGGGAAAGGGGTTGTGACATCTTCGGCCGTTATTTTTAAGATGCATCGTTAAAACACTTGTAGGCCTAAGCCTAAATTCAATCGCTATCGGAAACCTGGCCGTGGTCTGTTTCGAAAGCGTTCCAGGGAAGTCTCGCGATGTTGCGCCTCTGGATTTTCACAATAAATGAACAATTGGTTGTCAAATAACTATAATATCTTTATTTTTCATAAAGGTGCTGATTCGAAGTATTAAAAAAACAATTGAAATTGTATACAATATTTCAACTTTTCCATCTTACATCATATGGACTGAAATTGATGCTTCAACTGGTCACAGGTGCTTATTGAAATCGACTGAAATTGAGGCTTCAACTGGTCACAGGTTCTTATTGAAGCCTGCTATGCACCCTGGTCAAAAGTAGGGCACTATATTGGTAATAGGGTGCCATTGTACTGCACTGAGCCAATCCACTAAACACACTCGAACACATCATCCACAGATACTGGCACACTGCAGCAGCAATGGCATGAACCTAAATAATAAATCAACCAAGTTGAGGTCCAATGCAGCTGTTTTATCTCATTTCTGGGTAACAGTTAACTACCTTACTGTGATTGTTTTCAATGAAAATTAAAAAATAAATAAAACCTTAGCAAATAGCTATTTCTCAAGCAAGAACTTTGATAGGACTGTCTGGGAGTGGTATGAGTGGGGAGGGGAAAACTGAAAATGATCTGTTATTGGCAGAGGCTTGGAACGCTCTTTCGTATTGGTCCATTAACTGGTCCTGTATGGCTCAGTTGGTAGAGCATGGCACTTGCACCATCAGGGTAGTGGGTCCGATTCCTGGAGTCTCTCATACATAAAATGTATGTACATATGACTATAAGTCACTTTGGATAAAAGCGTCTGCTAAATGGTCTGTATATATAACTAATCTCCCACCTGAAAAACAGGCAGTCTTTTCAAACAGCTCTTACACTAAAAGGGAATTATCATACATTCCACAGTATTCTTCCAACCTCATAGTGTGGAAATATATATAAAACACAGGAAAATCACATTTTTGACTTTAAAAGACAACACTGCAGGCCATTTGAAAACTTAGGACAGAACAATATTTATTCTTCATAACTTGAAGTCCACAAGTATTTAACCTTTGTACAATTCTCATGACAACAAACCCCCATTTAACTTTGTGTTTGCAGCGGGCTAATATCTACTAGATTGAGGATAATAATTATAATAGAGCCTGAGTCTCTCATGTGCCAACTGGTTGTGTAACGCTTTCTGACAAAATGATAACCCTCCGCCCCCTTAAAAAATTAACTGAGTAGGACTGCGTCCCAAATGGCACCCTATTCCTTATATAGTGCACTACTTTTGACCAGTCTTGTCGGCCCTGGTCAAAAGTAGTGCACTATATAGGAAATAGGGTGCCATTTGGGACACAAAGTAGGTAGTTGTCCCTAACCACTAACACATGGAAAGATTTGTTTGGTTAGGGACAATATCTTACCTCAAATCAGATAGACAGTACTGTTGAGCATAGAGACATCACGGGTGCGTTCACCAGGGCACAGCGTTGTGGAACGTTCAGATAGAAATATGGTATGTAGAACAAACATGCCTCTGACAAGTAGAATAAATAATCATGTCAACTCTATTCATGTCATTTCTTTATGCAACTTTCCACAACGTATTCCTATTGAATGTGGCCCAGGATAGGCATCTGTGGGCTGGCTGCCGGTACAGGAGACTGAGGGTGCTTCTCTCTGTGGGTAAGCTGAGCTTATTATGACAGTGGTCCACACAGACCTGGTTCTGGAGAGCTGTGGCTTCCTGCTGTTTATTTGTCCCATTCATCCAAGTCCCATTCAATATCTATGCAGTATAGATAAACGTTTCTGTCTGGATCTCTGGAAACAGGTCTCGGTGTGAACCACTGATCTGGATCAACTGTACAGTATGGATGGATGTGTGTCTGTGTCAAAGAGGCTGACGGATATCTATACAATGTGTGTGTCAGTCTGTCATACCGAATCGTGTGTGTGTGTTTTATGGTTATCAGCAGAGTATGGTCAGTCGGTCGGTGTGGGTGTGTATGTGCGCGCGTCAGCCAGCCTGTCTATCGATAGAGGTAATCAGCTTGTATGTTGGCAGCGATCTCGGCCTCCCACTTGTCTCCGTTGTTGAGCAGTTTCTCTTTGTTGTAGAGCAGCTCCTCATGGGTCTCTGTGGAAAACTCAAAGTTGGGGCCCTGAGGGAGGGGGAACGAAAAGGGAGAATAAGAGTGGGGGGGGGGGGGGGGTTTCAATCAGAGACACCAGACCAAATAGTTTCACAGGTCCTTTACGCCAACATCATTCTCTACAGGAATCTGAACGTCCAGACATCTACAGAGGGAAGCTATGCTAGAGGGGTTTTGTGCCATTTCCTACATAGTGCACTACTTCTGGTCAAATGTAGTGCACTACGCAGGGAATAGGGTGCCATTTGGGACACCGACCACAGTAGTGAGGTAGAAGGTCCTGCTCACCTCCACGATGGCGTCAACAGGACAGGCCTCCTGGCAGAAGCCACAGTAAATACATTTGGTCATGTCGATGTCGTAGCGCGTCGTCCTCCTGCTGCCGTCCGAACGGGGCTCTGCCTCGATGGTGATGGCCTATGCATATGGGGGGGGGAGGGAGGTAAATCATGTTTAGGGCGGTGAGCTTGAAGGTGTTGTAGTATAGCAGACATAGGATGTGTCCCAAATGGCACCTTATTCTGTAAATGGTGCACTTCTTTTGACCAGGGCCTATAGGGTGCACTATGTAGGGATCTATGTATGTGTGCCATTTGGGACACAGACATAGAGGTATTTACGTTGTAAAGTGCAAGTGTTTTAATGCCCTGGGAGTGGTAGGGATATGCAGATGTGAATAGTACAGGCGTTTAAACACTATAGGGGCCGGTTGCACCAGTTGGTCGTAACTCTACATCCAACATAAAATGCGCTCAACGCCGGATCAAAAAATTATACCCGTTGCACCACCTGGGAGTAAGCCTACTATGAGCCGTCTAGTAGGGAGCAGGCCTAGGGTGTTAAATTGAGACTATCTTCATCATGATACCGATAGAAAGAATAGCAATCTATTTCTAAAAGCATGTGAATCTCGCGTTCATATTTCACAACCTCCACTGACTTTTGGAGTTGCCTATGCACGAGTCATCAGCAAAAAAATACTGTGGATTTAGGCAACGTTATAGCACACTAAATGTTTCTGATCAGTGATAAATGAGTTGCCACCTCCACTTATTTGCCAAGCCAGAGACCAATTAACCAAATATACAGACAGAGATTCAGTGAAACAAAATCACATCAGACAAGTCACCGGCTTTTGGTCGGGAGTAAGCTACTATGCGAGTAAACAGCTAAATCATCCACTTGTTATAGGCTACATAACATGCTAGCAAAATGTTCTGATCAGTGCTAAAGACTAGAGGAGTAATCTAGACTAAAGATAGGTTTCCCGCTTATAAATATCTGGGCATTTGGATTGACAAGGATTGAACGTTTTAAAAACATACTTTAAAGTGGGCTTCTTTTTTTAGAAATAGATATTGCTTCTCCCTAAACAGCAGGAAGCAGATTGTACAGTCAACTTTCCTGCCAGTTCTTGACTATGGTGAGTGACACCATTTACCAGAATGCAGCAGCCACTACTCTTAAACCTTTAGATGCTGTCTACCATAGCGCCCTTCGCTTTATCACAGATTACAGTTTTGATACACATGACTGCATCCTGAAGGAAGAGTTTGGCTGGTCCTCATTAAAGTCACGTAGATCACTTCACTATTCCCTTTTTGTTTACAAAGCTCTACTACACAAGCTTCCGACTTACCTAACTTTGTTGTTGAAGTATAAAAACATGAGATCCTAAATCCGTTCACTCGAGGTTCCTCGGGTCTCTCCACCGAATTAGGTAAATCCGCCTTCAGTTTTAATGCCCCCAATATTTTGAATAACCTACAGATCTCCCTGCGTCTTGATTCCCTGGTGTCACTAGGGCAGTTTAGGAGTCTAATGTTGAAATTGTTAAATGAGAATTGCATTTGTTTAGATTGAATGTAAAAAAATAATAAATAAAAAATGAATTTGTATTGTTATATATATATATATATATATATATATATATATATATATATATATATAAACGTTTTGGGGGAATGTTCGTGTTGAATTTGTTGTCCTCAGGGCACTATTGAAAATGAGACCCTTGTCTCAATGGGCTCCCGATTTAAATAAATATAATATTCATTCCCACAGTAACTCTTTATGGATTCATCCAGTTGTGGTTAAGAAAAGGTTAATGCATAGTGGTGGGCTATGCAAAGGGATGGACTGTTCTATCTCTATGGAAGTGACATGCCTCGCAAAGTTTAGAACTGCCACGAGGATGGTAACAGCCTAGTAACGGGTGCTGCCTAGCAACCATCATTATGAAGCATTAAATCTCATGAACGCACATTGCTTACACCAGACATAGCTGTGACTAGTCTTATTTTGGGTTGGTGCAACAGGTGTAAATTCTGATCACAAAGTCGGACGTAGCTATGCCCGACCTAACATTTTAGACCACGTTTTAACACCCAACTGGTGCAACAGGCCACAGGTGTGTTTCTATGTACCTGGGCGGGGCAGATGGCTTCACACAGCTTGCAGGCGATGCAGCGCTCCTCTCCAGAGGGGTACCTGCGCAGGGCGTGCTCACCGCGGAAACGTGGCGACAGGGGCCCCTTCTCAAACGGGTAGTTTATAGTGGCCGGCTCTCTGAACAGGTAGCTCATGGTCATGCCCAATCCTGGGGGAGCAGGAAGTGATGTTATACACTGCACTGGTTGCATCCAAAATGGCACCGGAGAGGTACAGATTTCAGGTAAAGACTACTTTGTCAGTATGTAGCCTTTATTTTACATTTTGGTCACTTAGCAGACACGCTTACCCAGAGCAACCTACAAGTGCATTCAACTAAGGTAGGCAAAACAACCACATATCACAGTCATTGCAAGGCTGGTCCCTGATCTTTTGGTGCCCTCTTGTCAACTCCTATGAAAGTTGTCATAGGAGTTGGCAAAATAGCAACAACAAAAATCTGGGACCAGGTTATTCAGTGGCTGTGTCTGAAATGACACCCTATGGGCCCTGGTCAAAGGTAGTGTATTATATAGGGAATACAGCGCCATTTCAGACATGGCGGTCGGTGTCATGTGGAGGTCAGTGGCGAGGTCAGTGTCATGAAGAGTCAGGAGTGAAACTGACCTCTGAAGAGCTCCGTCCACAGCAGAGTCTGAGCGGCTCGGTCTGTTATGGACTTCATGTCTGTGGGCAGATCCTGAGCATTCACATACTCTACAGAGAGAGGGAGAGAAAAAGACAGTGAGATTAATGTTGAGTGCGTGTCTAAACATTCATACTAATCAAAGGCAAACAAAGTGCAGCTGTGTGGGGATCACAGTGGTCAGGTGTATATGAGAGACACTGGGTGTGCTCGTTTTGAATTTCCCGGTGCCCCGGATGGGTGGGGATTTCCCTTTAGGACTAATGGAATGTGCAAATGCCGCCCACCCGGGGCACCCGGTGATGCAAATCGAACGTGCCTTGAGAGCCGGGGAAGAGGCAGTACTTACTGAATCCCTCTCTCTGGGCTGACAGACTGATTGGACGCACCAGAATGTGTCCAGCCGCAAAGGTGCCTGTGAAAAAATAAAGGAGTCAAATTATGACAAGCCAGAGGATGGAATGGATCTACCAGGGAAATGTTTACCACAAGTGGTCAACAATTAGCAAGTAGACTTCAATGGCAGCTAACAAATAATAGCATTGACTCATCTTCCATTTAGGGCATTTAGCAGACAGTCTTATCCAGAGCAACTTACAGTCAGTATCTTCATAGATATTTGAGATGGGTTTTGGCTATTTGTAACTACTGTTTACCCCAAATAACTGAGTATCGCCTACATTTTCTCTTGAACTGTTGCCTGCAGTGACGACCAGAGTGACTTTTCTATCAATAAAGTAGTGCACCACATCATCAATATCCATCCTCCAAACCCCTCCATCCATCCATCCATTCATTTATCCGTCCATCCCTCCCTCCTCAGGTGAGGTCTTACCTGGCCGGGATACGGAATATAGTACACGCAACGCCGCAGACATGCCTGGAACATGCCAACAACACACGAAGAAGAACGGGGTAGAGAAATAAAAACAGAAACATGTTATTATCAATCATGTGACATGCAACAGGTGCAATACAGGGTATGTGCATATAAATTGGCCAATGGTTTTTTTGAGGTCACTGACCTATTAAACAGACAATGTGAAATCTGTTGGCAGATGATACATTGCACTCATTCAGAAAACCTGTATTGGTCTTACTTTGTTTGTCATGACATAATGTAGAAATCTGCCTTATGTTATCATCCAATATCTTGTCTGTTTTTCAACAAACAAACCATAGGTAGGTAGCTAACTAAGTTCCATTGCTAAAAGGTTAGTATATGTGCTTGTTACGAAAATCGTTAATGTGTGATGATCATTACGACCCTTATGTCAGCGCTCAGCTGGTCCTTGTGATGACAACATGCGATGCGAGAGAGAAGAAGCTACACTGCTGAATATCTGTTGACTGCATAGGTTAGTTAGGTTAACGTTAGCTCGCTAGTTGAGGACATGAGTGTTCTAGCAAGACAACTGTGTTCCCCGAAAACAAATGCCAACCGTCTACCCAGGTGTCCCAGGCTCCGTTCAACGCTATTTTTACTGCGTGACTTGATATATTATAGCAAAATGTATTACTTCCAAAAAGCAAAATACAATAACGCTTTACACTATGACAATTGCATGTTGTTAGATAGGTAACGTTACTAGCTAGCGTTAGCGAGCCGGCTAGCAACAACCGGCTAGCCATAAAATCCTCAAGGACTTTTCCAATGACTGACGTTATGTCGCTTTAGCTGTGAAAGCAGCGGTCATACAAGCACCAAAATACAGTAGAAATATCAACAAAGATATGATGTGTAGTAAAATATATTTTAAACCATTGCTAATAATAATGTAGTTGATAAATAACTTGAAACTCACTGACCTGTCGCTATTTGGCCTTCTAAACCAGAACAGCGGACGATTTGGGAAGTGCAATTTGCGTGGGCAGGAAGTGAAAGAACGTTATGACAGAGATCTCGCGTTGGACGTCAAAAAGTCGCCATGTTTGATGTGGCGCAGGTGGTAAGGTCAAAAGGTTGAGAATATTTAACATTTACATTTTAGTCATTTAGCAGACGCTCTTATCCAGAGCGACTTACAGTTAGTGAGTGCATACATTTTCATACAGGCCCCCCGTGGGAAACGAACCCACAACCCTGGCATTGAGCTACAGGGGACCTGATTTTCTATCCTAAAATACAGTGCTACATAAAATTATTAAATGTATTGTTGTTGTTTTGAATTGATTGTGCTTCATTCAGTATTTAGTAGTGCTATTTTAAACACACACACACAATGCTTGATAAGGGATTTGCCAGTGACAAATGAAGCAGGATAGTTTTAATTGGAGATGGTGTTTTTGATGATGCTCTCGCTTTGTGTAATCTTCACTCTCCCATTCATAATCCCCTCTTATCTCCTCATGGTTGTGGACTCTAACCATTCGTCTTAAAAGTAAGTACGGTACTGTATTACAATGACATTCATTATTCTATAATATCAATGATTTTCTACAGGTGAGGCTTTCAAGATTGTATAATTTCACTAACCAACAGTAATTGACTGCATTCAGTTATATCTTTAAAACTTATAATCACTGATTTTTCTCTTCTTCAGTGAACGAGTGGGCCAACAGCACAGCAGTAATGATGGAGCAGTCCTGGACGAGGGTTGAGAGGTCAGTGCTGGTGGCACTTCTGAGCGTGGAGATGGTGTTGGGGGTCATTGGGAACTGTCTGGTACTACTGGTAAAAATCATGGTAGGTAACTGTTATTATTTCCAACTGAGTGTGTGTGTGTGACTTCTCACACACACACTTCTCTCCCTGACCTACTGTTAGGATATCTAACCAAGTACTCGTATATCCTCGTTATAACCCAGTGTTCTGACTGTAGCTTACTTCTGTGAGTGTGTTGTAGTTTACATATGCCTGCCTGATTGTGGCACTCTTTTACAAAATGTTGTAGTGCAAACAAACTCTATCTGCTGATAAAGAGGCACTGAGCAATGCCAATGAGTAGAGCCTATGTAACAAATTAAATTAAAAAAGAGTATGAAATAGAATAATCTCTCTCTCCGTCTCTTTCTCAGTGTAGGGGTCGGTTTCCCTGTAGATACTGGGTCCCCTTCGTCAGTCTGACCATCTCCGACCTTGGCTCCTCCCTGCTCATCATCTCTGGCTCCTTATTGGCTATACTGACTAAGGGTCAGAGGTCACCATTGTGCGAGGTCGTCAGCTTGCTCAAATTCGCCTTCATCACTTCCTCAATTGGAAGCATAGGTGAGACTCTCCTGTGCCTGGGTTGTTGGCGTTTTGAATCCACATTTCACATGGAGAAACAACAGTGTTACAGGACTGACTTTGAGGAACACTTACTGCGTTAACCAACTTCTCTTCACACACACACACACACCTTTTACCTTCCATTCTCACTATTCACTTCTAAACACCCACTCCTCTTCTCACATATGCATCTTTTACATCTAATTCAACAATCTTCAATCCTCTTACATATATTCTGTATCCCAAATGGCACTCTATTCCCTATGTAGTGCACTACTTTTAAAAACACTCATTCCTCCCCTCTCCACAGCGATTCTCTGCGTCCAGCGAGCCAAGGGCATGGCCGCCACAGGAAGTGGCGCCTCTGTTGTCGTGGCGCTGGCTTGCCTGGCTTCCTGGTTGACAGGGGCGGTGTTTGGGAGCGTCCCTGTGGTCTACAACTGGATCAGGTGAGGGAGGGGTGTGGTGAGGGTCTTGTCGTTATTTGGGTCATACTAGACATACAGTGTGGAAGGCTAGGTCATTTATCACTTATCTTCTCTTCCATCAATGTACTCGGGTCCATCTTTAGCCCAGTTAGCCAATCTAAATTAGGGGTTTTGCACAGAATTATAATTATTTGGGAAATAATGGGGGCCCAAGGAAAAATGGGCTGGTGTCAGGCCCTCAAGGAAAAAAATTGTCCGGTCTGTTAGAAATGTCCAGGCCGAATTTGGTCCAGTCCGTCCCTGCCTCTGAACTCTCTGTCTCTCTCTAACTCTCAGGTACGACCCTGCAGAGATGCTGTGTGCAGTGTTCTGGGACAGCAGTTACTCTGACATGCTGGTCTACATCCTCTGTGCTTTCTCCATCTGCATCTTCCCCCCCTTCCTCCTCATCCTCTTCTGCTCTCTCTTCACCGCTGCTGGCTGTGGGAGGAACTGCGACAGGTATGTGTTGTGATTTGTGAGCATTTGGGTGCATCGCAATAGCCTGAAATGGTCTCCTCCCCCTCGTCTCATTTACATCATCTGCATTTATGTGAAATAACTGCACATCAATTTCCTGATGCATTCACACCATTCTTGCGATACCAACGTATCTTATTCAAGCTGGAAACAGAGGTTCCATTCACATATACTAGAAAATGACAGATCAGTGCAGATGATGGAAAGGCGATTAAGAGAGAAGGCAACCTCCGATAGAATGAGAGGCACCCAGATTAGTACCTTCCTCAGTAATGGCTCTCTTTCCCTCTCTCCTTCATAGTGACCCAGATGACCTCTCCTCTGTCACTCCTCTGATGGTGGCCTTCTACCTATTCTGCAACACTCCCTTCGCTGTGTCTGAGGTGACACACGCACACAAATGTCTACACACACACACACTCTTCAGATTAATCTTGTCATGCTCCCCCCTGAAGCCAATGGTTATTTTTGACCTCTCTCACTTCCCCACAGCTGATTCTCCTGGGTAGACTGGACCTATCCCCTGCACCTAATTGGCTGAGAACCCTGTCGTCCATGATGTCCTACCTAGACTGCGGGTTGAACCCAATCATCTACTGTGTCAATCAGAACTTCCGGGAGGCGGGACTTGCTCTGTTCTGGACCAGTAGGAAGTTGTTATTCTCTGAGCCTGTGCTGACAAGCGTGACAACGTTAGAATTGTAAAGATTGACCGCAAAATAAATTCTGTAAAGTTGGTGGCTAAAATATTTATCATAAAACAGATTTAATTCCTCCAATTTGAGATATTATGACAATGACTGGAAATACATGTTGCACTGATCTTGATATTGCTTATGAGACTAGATGTTAACGAACGGGACATCATGCATTGGTTGAAATTACAAAGAAAAAACTAATATATATCTTCATCAATCTTAAATCATTGGCTGACTCAGTTTTCTGAATTGTTGTTTTGTTGCTGTCTTTTCCCCTCTGCATTTTATCAAACCAGCCTACCTACACCTAAATATTTTAGTTTTTTTCCCCAAATCTGAATTAGGTGTGATTGGCCTACTATCTAGAATATAACTTCAGTGAATTACAGACACAGTTGTCATTTGCCCTTGAAGTGGGCTGTTTCTTCTACACAATTTCTGCTCCCTTAAGTTCATGAAGACAATTGAATGAATTAACATACATTAGTTGCGGCCAGACTCAGACCTATTGCCCCATGATATTGATTGCCATTGACAATCCATGGATAGACCTATTCAGTCCGTTTTGGTGCTATGCTTGTGACGTGCGTGAGAAAGCAGAAACTGTAGTGGAACTGCAGAACGTCACACACTTTGGACCAGAAGTGTCCGGTGAGATGTTGGAACGGTTGGTACCGGGCCAGGGTGTGATCCATCAGTTTCAGCAACACGAACCCACAGCAGGACAGCACGGCGAGACCCAGGTATCTCCGGGAGTGGCAGTCTCCATGGTTACGGTTTACCCCGACACCTTTGATGACCGCGAAGGCCACGTGACACCCGAGGGCCACCTCGAACCCATGGTCGTGCACCAGCGAAAGGCCATAGCTGAGAATGGAGCACAACTCGACCGTTAACGCGTACCGTGGCCGCCAACCGTGCTCTATAAAATGGCACCACACCGGCACCCACGCGAAGATGGGAAGCGTGAACCACTGGTCCAAAACAGCGGGTGCGCGAAGGAGCGTCGCGAGGCGCACCCACTGCACAGGTGCGTAGGCAATGGCCATGAGTGCGAACATGTCTTTGACGTAACCTGCCCTAGTGTCTCTTTTACCGTCCGTCCGTTGAAGTAGCCAGTAAAGGCCCATGAAAATGTATCCCAAATTGACCAATGAGTTGAATGGCATTGCCAGGTAACTGGGTAGGTAGTCAACTGTCTTCTCGGCGTAGTGATCATAGCTCATGTCGACTAAAACACTGTTGAATAGACCAGTGTTCGCCAAAACGATACAAACACAAAAGGGCACTAAAACGTGTATCAATGCAGACTTCATTTTTATATCATATATTCCATCGCATTGGTGCGATAATTGTTTAAAAAAAATAGAAATGGAAATATTTTGACAGAGCAAGTTGCGACTCAAACTTTTTCTGTTGTTTTTCCGGTGGAATCACATGATGGCGCCAATGATATATAAATACACTAGATGACTACCAGGGCGCTGTTTTAAAGCCACGGTGCCTCCATCTTGGCACTCCCCCACCGTTTAAAAAAAATATGTAGGAAGCTATAGAAATGCATTTATTAATGTCTACATTTGTTTTTGCCACGTTTATTCTATTACACACCCCTTAATGTATACTTGTATATATTTTGAGCTAAACATAAAAGTAAAAAATGAGAAAATATATTAAAACATTTTCCTTAAAGTAATTTTTTTTTTTTAAAGAAATTGAGGTAGCTATTTACTGTACATATAGGTAGGGGTAAAGTGACTAAGTAACAGGATAGATAATAGACAGGAGCAGCAACGTGTGTGTGGCGTCAGTATACGTGTGTGCAGGTTATGTGTGTGTTGGGGTGTCAGTGTACGAGCCAACTTATGCTTGATCCGAAAATGTGGTCGTAGACTTCGTATGGAGAGTGTGACGCAATTCCGGAGCCTCCGGAGGCACGCAGAGGCCAACTTGAGCTCCGTACCACATCGCTGTGTGCCTCCCAAATTTTGTAACAATGCGGAGGGCTCCGAATAGCTCCGCATTGACATGATTGGTTGACGGCAGGTAGGGGCGGGAGGTCCTGTATAAACACAAACTCACTTCCTTGATAACTTACTTCACAACAGCTATGCACTGCGCCACGAAGCGCAAGAAGTATGAATGCCCTGACTTCTGCAGAGGCCATACCACCGTAAATGCTGCACGGCCAATGCAGACAGTGGATTGACCATGCAGCGCCTTTAAGTGTGTGTGGGTAGAGTCCAGTGTTTGTGCAGTGTCAGTGTAAAAAAGGTTCAATGCAGCTAGTCTGGGTGCCCATTTCATTAGGTATTTAGCAGTCTTGTTTAGAAGTCTTATGGCTTGGGGTTAGAAGCTATTCAGAGTCCTGTTGGTTCCAGACTTGGTGCATTGGTACCGCTTGCCGTGTGGTAGCAGAGAGAACAGTCTGTGGCTGGAGTCTTTTACAATTTTTTGGGACTACCTCTGACACCGCCTGGTATAGAGGTCCTGGATGGCAGGGAGCTCAGCCCCAGTGATGTACTGGGCCGTACTCACTACCCTCTGTAGCGCCTTGCGGTCGAATGCCAAGCAGTTGCCATACCAAGCATTGATGCAGCCAGTTAAGTTGCTCTCGATGGTGCAGCTGTATAACTTTTTGAGGATCTGAGGGCCCATGCCAAATATTTTCAGCCTCCTGAAGGGGAAAAGGTGTTGTCGTGCCCTCTTCATGACTGTATTGGTGTGTTTGGACCATGATAAATCCTTCGTGATGTTGACACCAAGGAACTTTAAGCTCTCGACCCGCTCCACTACAGCCCGGTCGATGTGAATGGGAGCGTGCTCGGCCCTCCATTTCCTGGAGTCCACGATCAGCTCCTTTATCTTATTGACATTGAGGGAAAGGTTGTTATCCTGGCACTCATTGGCGATTTTAGCATGTACATCTTGGTGGGGGATGCATGCCAGCAAAGCCACTACACAACACTAAACAATACATTAATTGCAATATAACGGTGACAAACGGTGCCCACAAAATGTTAGGGCCTACATAAAGCTTTCCCAACACCAGAGATTTCCATTCAGCACCATGGAGTGAATCCTTACCACCGCTACACCTGGCTATCAGCGGAGCCTTGTCTGGCAGCGAAACAGTTAATTCAGCCTCATTTACTGCCTTTTTAAAAACCATAGCTGATATAGGTGACTTTCTTAAACAAATGTGGTTACTACTGACTCCTTGCGGATTTGTGTAAGTCGATAAGAACCACATTCTCCTTCAATAACAACGAACGCCAAAATTAGTTTTGACTTATGAACCATACACAAACATTATTACATTTATGTTCAGTAAATTCATAATGTTTGTTCTTATATCATTAACACTTAGCTCTAAGTATAAGCAAGTGTAAGCAAACGAGCTGTGATGAGGTAGGCCTATTCGTTCAGCACTTTCAAAATGGACACCGACAGAAATTCAGATGTTAGTTAGATACATTCAGCAAGATGTTGAGGCCTTAACTTTACTCTTCTTTAAGTCACCACACAGACAGAGAGAGAGAGAGAGAGCGAGAGACACTTGGTTAGTCTACCATTTGAAATATTTTATTAGGCCTATGTGGTCTAAAAAGGAAGGAAAATACAATCATGAGGATCCACTTTTATAGACAATATACCGACATAAAGACAGCGCATTGCGCAAACAAAACAACCCTCGCAATATCAACTGGAATTAGATGGGTCTATTACTGAACTTTTTGTTGAAAACAAATATTTGAATGGGAAGAGACTGTCACTGGCAAACATTGTTACAGACCCAACAACATTATATAGTATCTCCTCCTCGTCAAGAAAAGCACATGAGCTAATTATAATACACAAAGTAAGCAAAACAATGAAATCATTCCAACATTGCCTAAAATGATGAATAAGATACTAATGAGATAGACCTCTATAAGCAATAGACCTATAACAATTGTGATGTACAAACTATGGCATAAGGGAATGATGAGTGGATGAGGCAATTTGTAATTCCGATTAAGACATTAATGAGCGAGCTAAGACGGACGTAGTCAAAATAACTAACTATTTGTTCAGCACTTTTGAAACGTACAGCGACAGTATTCAGAACATGGGCGGTTCTTACAGTATTCTCCCTGTACACCAAGTCAGAACCGTAGGATAAATAAAGGGGGCATATAAGCAGACAAAAAAAGCTCTTACAATGTTCGATGACATTTCTCTAAAACAGGCTATAGGCTACATGTGCACCACCAAGTCAGAACAGTAGGCTATGTTATGAGGGGGAAAGGGACCAAATTATTAGGGTGAGGCACATGGGCTACTAACAGCTTACTACAAACATACACTTAGTATTACTTTCTTAGCTACAGTGGCTTGTGAAAGTTTTCACCCCCCTTGGCGTTTTTCCTATTTTGTTGCCTTACAACCTGGAATTAAAATATATATTTTGGGGGTTTGTATCATTTACACAACATGCCTACCACTTTGAAGATGCAAAATAATTTTTTTGGGGAAACAAACAAGAAATAAGACCAAAAAACAGAACTTGAACGTGCATAACTATTCACCCCCCCAAAGTCAATACTTGGTAGAGCCACCTTTTGCAGCAATTACAGCTACAAGTCTCTTGGGGTATGTCTTTTAAGCTTGGCACATCTAGCCACTGGGATTTTTGGCCATTCTTCAAGGCAAAACTGCTCCAGCTCCTTCAAGTTGGATGGGTTCCACTGGTGTACAGCAATCTTTAAGTCATACCACAGATTCTCAATTGGATTTAGGTCTGGGCTTTAACTAGGCCATTCCAAGACATTTAAATGTTTCCCCTTAAACCATTCGAGTGTTGCTTTAGCAGTATGCTTAGGGTCATTGTCCTGCAGGAAGGTGAACCACCGTCCCAATCTCAAATCTCTGGAAGACTGAAACAGGTTTCCCTCAAGAATTTCCCTGTATTTAGCGCCATCCATCATTCCTTCAATTCTGACCAGTTTCCCAGTCCCTGCTGATGAAAAACATCCCCACAGCATGATGCTGCCACCATCATGCTTCACTGTGGGGATGGTGTTCTCGGGGTGATGAGAGGTATTGGGTTTGCGCCAGACATAGCGTTTTCCTTGATGGCCAAAAAGCTAAATTTTAGTCTCATCTGACCAGAGTACCTTCTTCCATATGTTTGGTGAGTCTCCCACATGGCTTTTGGCGAACACCAAACGTGTTTGCTTATTTTTTCTTTAAGCAATGGCTTTTTTCTGGCCACTCTTCGGTAAAGCCCAGCTCTGTGGAGTGTACGGCTTAAAGTGGTCCTATGGACAGATACTCCAATCTCCGCTGTGGAGCTTTGCAGCTCCTTCAGGGTTATCTTTGGTCTCTTTGTCACCTCTCTGATTAATGCCCTCCTTGCCTGGTCCGTGAGTTTTGGTGGGCGGCCCTCTCTTGGCAGGTTTGTTGTGGTGCCATATTCTTTCCATTTTTTAATAATGGATTTAATGGTGCTCCGTGGGATGTTCAAAGTTTCAGATTTTTTTTAATAACCCAACCCTGATCTGTACTTCTCCACAACTTTGTCCCTGACCTGTTTGGAGAGCTCCTTGGTCTTCATGGTGCCACTTGCTTGGTGGTGCCACTTGCTTAGTGGTGTTGCAGACTCTGGGGCCTTTCAGAACAGGTGTATATATATATATATATTACTGAGATCATGTGACACTCAGTTTGCACACAGGCAGACTTTATTTAACTAATTATGTGACTTCTGAAGGTAATTGGTTGCACCAGATCTTATTTAGGGGTTTCATAGCAAAGGGGTTGAATACATATGCATGCACCACTTTTCCGTTAATTTATTTTTTAGAACTTTTTGAAAGAAGTTATTTTTTTCATTAACTTCACCAATTTGGACTATTTTGTGTATGTCCATTACATCAAATCCAAATAAAAATCCATTTAAATTACAGGTTGTAATGCAACAAAATAGGAAACATGCCAAGGGGGATGAATAGTTTTGCAAGGCACTGTACATTATACATATCTCCCTGGCATATTACATAATTTATGCAGCGGCATGCAAGACATTTTTGGAATCACCGTTGTGCTGTGCTCACTTGAACAGGAAGGTGGCGAGGTGGTCCTTCTTGTGTGCAGATTTTATCTTAAAACTTTGTCACCAAAGTCTGGCATTATCTGGATTTATAGTGCTTTCAAGAGAACTAATGAACTCTGAAAAAAACAAAGTCGAATCATGGCGTCAGTGATCTTCAGGTCGGAGCTCTAGAAAGAGGCCCAAGTTTCTGACTTGGAATTCCGAGTTGGATGACCGTTCAAAACGTATTTTCCAAGTCGGAGCTCGTTTTTTCCAGAGTTCCTAGTTGTCTTGAACTCAATGAAGTCTGAGATTTCCCAGTTCCGAGTGTCCAGTTGTTTTGAACGCGGCAGAAGTCGTGC